TTTAATAAGTTTCGCAAAGTAATTAATAATCCATTTTCTGGATAAATCCTCGAATTACTATTTTTAATAAATATTATCAATAATATTAAATAAAAAATAAAGTGTATTCTTATTATTAAGAAAGTGTGTAGATAGTTCAAGTATAAAATATCATAATTAAATATTAATAATGATTTTACCTGGTACCCCATCTTTAATTTAAAAACTATTCTGTATTATTTTTATGATTTCTATTTATAAAATTCCATTTTATTAAAACCCTTTGTATATTTATTGGAGTGGATTCGTTTCTATAAGAGTGGAAAGAATGATTACAATTTCACAAATAATAATTAATATATAAATAAAAAAGATCAAAAGAATTTTTTTAATTTATTATTATAATAAAAAAAATCCTAATTTAATAAAAGGCTGAAAGCAATTGAATAAAGATTGAATTGCTAAACTAATATAATAAAGAAAGTTTTTTTCTTTGTCTAATAGATTTAGATTAGATTAAAAAGAAAACTTCTATGGGTATTAATGGTTATAGTTGGATGAGGTATAATAGTAAAGACTGAATAATTTAAATTGAAATATTAGCTAAATTCCTAGTTAATAATAATAATAAAAATATATATAATAATTATAAGTTTAAAAATAAAACAACTTTTAGTTATAGTATGTATAATAATAAAACCGAGTTTATGTTCAATTTTATTTAATTATTTATGAGTTATCAAAAGTTTTGTTTCTATTTGAATTATAGTGAATTAATGTTATTACTTCAATTTATCTTTCTACTCTATAGTTTTGATTATATAATATTCTATATCTTCCCAAGCAAAGATGAGAGAAAATATTTCTTTTGAAATATAATTCTTTAATTTCTTTTATAAGTTGAACTAAATAAAAGTTAGTGTTGTTATTAGTTTCAAAATAGCTAATACTCACCTTTATTATGTTATTGTATAGAGCTATAATCAATTAATATTAAAGAAATATCTTATAAATATTTCTTTTAAACAAGTGTTTATACTTATACTTATTAGTTAAATAAAGCAAGCAATAAGGTTAATTAAATAATTGATTAAAAAGTTGATAATAAATACTATCCCCCTTATCAGAAATATAATTATAAATATAATTAATATAGATTTAATTATTCTCTTGAATATATTATTCCTATTGTAGTACTATCTTCTTTAATAATCTTTTATTTAAAAACCTTAATTCATTAATGTTAATAAAATCAACATTTTTATGATGGATTGTATTAAATTTACAATCAAATTAACTTTAATACAAAGTCTTCAAGATCTTCTCCTTTATTATAATATCTTTATCAACTTTAAGTTTATAAAAATAATATATCACTATGATTAATTTATTAGTAAACTTCATTTTATAATCTTTAATATAATTAATAAATAAATTGTATTCCTTTTCTAAATTCTGTTTTAATAAATAATAAAATAAATATATTTATTAAATATATCAAAGATTAACTTTATCTTTAAATATATCATTCTTAGTATTTATAATCATATTTATTAGATAAACTAATTATATATTAAGAATGGATAAAAGAAAAACTCTATTTATATATATTCTTATAATTTAGTTTATTATTATTATTCTCATTTTTATTAAAATCTCTTTTATTTTTATTATTATTCAATTTTTCTATAAAAACATACTTATCTTATATAACAAAAGGAATAGATTCTTTTTTTGCTATAAGCTATTAGGAAAATATATTAATATACCAAATGCAAAAAATAAAATAAATAACTTACTATTATATATACTACTTTCAATTATCTTAATTATATTAATAATAATTTACTTTTGTTATTATATTTTATTAATAATATCGAAAATATAATAAAAATAAAGAATAAAAAAAAGTAAATAATTGAAAAGGGTTTTAAAAGAAGAATAGATTTAGAAGATTTATATACCTCAAAAGATTCGAGTTATTACTAAACTATAAAACAATTTCCTTTATTTTCCATATGCCTTCCTATTGCGAAAAAGAAAAACTTATATATACATCTGTTTATTATATTATTCGATTAAATAATAATTAATATCATATTACAATCACCAATTTGAGTATTAAATAGGTAATTATAAAGCTTAAAGATAAACTTTTCTAAAGGGGGGGTAGTGTTACAAATTGTATTTAATTACAATGCAATTATTTATATGCACATATGTGTACGTATACAATTATATATATATAGCTAGTATATAGGAGCGTTTTATAAGCACTTTGCTCTCGATTCTATAGTTATAGATTCTAAGGATAAATTGTACCCTGCTCTCGCAGTTCTTCTAAGGCAAAGTGTTATAAGAAGGGCTTTATGATTGATATAGGGAGGACTATAAAGAGGATAATAAGTACTAATACTTATAATAAAAGTAAAGTAATAAAAGCTAGACAAAATAAATCAAAAGAGTTTATTATTTTATTAGCCGCTATATGTGTTAATAGAATAACTCTTTCTTCTGCTTTTATTTATAAAGGAGATTCTAGAGATCTATAAGATTTATAGATTTAGAATATAGAAAAAAAGAATAAAGCTTATTTTAGAGCTTTAAGTAATAGATAATTATCAAATGCTTTTAATCTATATTAGTTTATAAATATATTTGATCTTATTATATATTGTAAAGTAGATGGAAAGTATTGTTTATTTATTGTAAATAATCATTCTAATTATATTAATATGGAATTCCTTTCAAAATGTAATAAATTAAAGATAATTGTTTTAATTCTCTCCTCTTATTCTATGCATCAACTATAACCTCTTGATGTTGAAACCTTCGGCCCTTTCGTAACGAATTATAGTATATTATTAAATGATTTGATATACAATAGCGGGGGGATCGTTGGTATAATAAAATGTATATTTTAAGGCTTATTTAAAAAAACCTAGAAGCTTATTTATATGAGGTATAATATCTTATAATCTTTCGAAAAAACAGGTATATATTCTATAAATCGAAATCTTATAATCAATTCTATTACTCTAAAAACTTCTTTTATACTACCTATATTATTTAGGACTCATAGAGATACTCTTACTATACTATATATATTAAAAGCAATATATAAAATAAAACTAGAATTTCATTACACTTTCATTTATAAAATCATTTTAAAGCTTTTTAAAACTACAATTATATTAAAAGCTGAAGCTATTATATAGGGATATAGAACTAAAGATTTGGAATAATCTCTAAAGTTCGAAAAAAGGAAAAGAGTTTATTTAAAGTATTTAAATCTTATTAAAGAAAAAGAAAGTAATACATTTTTATAATTACTTTTTACTATTATTAAAGTTAAAGTATATTAAAAAAATAAAGTATTTAAAGAGAAATAAAAGAGAGAAGTTAAACTTTAATTAAAAATTGAAAAGAAAGCTGAAAAAAAATAAAAGGAAGTTAAAATAAAAAAGAGAGTATTGTAAAAAAAGATTGATTATTAGATTATATATGATACAAAAAAGGAGATTAAAAAGATTCTAAAATTAACAAAATCTTTAATCAAAAGAGATAAAAAGCTTTCAAAAGCTTTTTTTATTATAAATTTAATATTCATAAAGATTATAAAGTTTTTTGATATTATAAAAACTAATAATTCAAAAGAAAAAAAAAAGAAGATTGTATTATAATCTAATAGAAATCGAATACTATAAGTTCTATTGAGATTTAAAAATTGAAGATATTTTTATATTTTTAGATAATACTTTATCTTGTTATTTATCAATTAAATTACTAGCTTTATATCTTATAAATTAGAATTATTATTAATTTTTAAAATGATTTAAAATGGGAGATTAAGATTGTACATATAGCAGGGCCGTATATGTAATAGGGATATCAGTTAAAGCTTTAAGTGAATAAAGAAGAGACTAGTTTTTTCAGTAGATCTATATAAGACCTATTATCTTCTATTCATAGCTAGTTTTTTAGAATATAATTAAACAATTAGGATCTATATATCATGGGTACTACATCTTCCGTATCCTTCTCGTATAAATACATAGGAAAATGTAAAATCAAAGGTGGAGTGGCGCTCTAGTTACAATTATGGCCTACTTGCAATTGTGGCCTTCTATTTAGAGAACATATATCATTTTTATTTCTAATTCAAGCATCAACTTATCATTGCAATACTTATAGAAGCCTTAAAAATTAAAGTCTATTATCTTTTTTCCCTAAAACTGAAAGCAATATACTTACTAATATAACTTCTATTTTCGCAAATAAAAATCGAAAACAAAAGTAACCCTTTTCCTTCTACTTTTTCTCCCTTGAAAACAATAACATGTATCCTTCATCACAATAACCTCAAGGACCTGATTGATCATAAAACTAGATCTAGATCAGAGATGACTGCCCGCATTACAGCCCGGTCGCCAACGAGCTCTTTGTCGCAAGTAGATTGCTTATGGATAGGTTAGTTCCAGTCAGTCAAAGGGATCGTCACAGACAGGACTACGTTCTACATATGCTGCACAAGAGTCGCTGTATGGGCAATACTGAGCTGGCACTAAGTCAACCAACCTATGAAGAATGAAGATCTATATAAATAGATAGTTTCCTTAATATATAAAGCTTTATACTCAACTCAAATAGCATCTTCGGTTACTAGTTACTATTTGTACCCAACCTTATTCAAATCTTGATTATATCATTTATCAACTGTAAACCCTACAATAATACTACCGCCTGTAAAAGCCCTAATACTCACCAATCGGATATTCCTTCCACATGATATCTAAGACAAGTATCTGTAACACTATGGTCGATTCTATGAAGAAAGAAAAAGAGATTTGCGCTTCCGGTTCTCAATTATGTGTGTGCGCCACGTGATTGGTACGGTAACGGTAAGCGAAGGCTCTGCCTGAGCCAGACATCACGGGCTCCACCCCTTACATATTCCTGGCTATCACTTAAACATGATTTTATAGAAGAAGAGAAACCTAACATATTATGTATGAATTTCTTTAAATATCAACTTTACAAAGTCTCCCATTCGAATCTTCTTCCCAGGATTCACTTCCTACTGCTGTCCGGCCCCATAGAAGGCCCTTAGAATCAACCTCATTTTTGATACTAAGAAGAGATTCATAATTATCACCGTAAAACACCCGCTGCCACTCTTTCTCCCGGATATCCCCTTCATTTAAATATGCAGATCCTCCATCCGGTGTAAATTCTTCTATTAGTGGAAGCAAAGTATCTGTCAGTAGTACTTGGTTCTCGAGGTTTGCTTCCCAATCAGTTCTATTCCACCAGCTATGATACGACAATTAGCTCTAGTTTTATAGTAAGAATTGAATTGTATATACTTACGTTCCTACTACGAAACTAACCATACTACTTCTAAGGACGGGATTGACTGAGTTGGGGAATGAAGAGTTCGAAGGAGCTTTGAAAGCAAGTCCGCTAATCCCAGCACCATAGGAGCATATACTCGCAAGAGCATCTATCAACCCACTTGAGTTAGTAGCCAAAACCGAACGAGGGAGCAAGCGACTGCCGATTTGGAAAATAGAAGTCTCCGAAGGAGGATTCATAGCAATGGCACTTTCGTAAAAGTTAGGAAACTCGACGGATGTATATGCTGAATCGTTGTATATTAGCACTTAGCCATATGTATAAGACATATATAGAAGAATCTTACAGTATGAGATCTGAAGATCGGTCAGCACCTGTAATACAGGTGCAAAGATCTCATCCATCTTTCCTTTCGTCATGCCTGGTCCTGTAGCTGGAGCTAAACTGAATCCTGTGGTCTGCAGTGTCCAGATAGCCACGCTACCCGCGTCTGTTAGAGCAGGGAGGACATTATGAAAGGCTGCCACAGCGCTGTAGAATAGATCTTGGGAGACGCCTTGATTGGTGAATGTGAGATTCGCGGCTGTTGTCACTTCTTCCGGGTACGCTCTGACTGTCATTGAAAGGACTAGCCCGTAAGTTCCACCGCCGCCGCCGCTTAACGCCCAATATAGAGCTTGATTGTGATATGGAGATACTCTCATATGTTGTCCATCAAGAGCGATCACCTCCCATTCCAAAACCTGGTCTGCACCAAATCCATACTTCGACAGTAGTGGGCCATGACCACCACCCTGAGTATAACCCCCTGAAATACCTACGCTGGCAGTAGCCCCCCCAACAATCGTCAAACCCTGTGTATGAGCCAGAGTAGTAGCCTCTAGAACCTGCAGTCCGGCACCAATCACCATAGCTTTTCCTGTGTATCCCTTCGAAGCATAATCCAGAAATTTAAAGTCCCGAATATTATGCGTCCAGATAGCTAAGGCACCATCACCCGAAGATTTTCCAAAGTAATCATGCCCTGTGTTCCTGACTACCAAACGCAGATTTCGCTTCGTCGCAAATGCAAGTGTAGCTTGATAGTCTGACGCGCAGCTGGCATTCACTGCATATTGGACGTAGGTACCTACGACGCACTGACTCTGAGTAGGATAGAAAGGATCACAGCTGTGGTTCGCCCAGAATGGTGCCATGACGGAGTGGGATGTATCCGCATGAGTCTGGGGGTCGATCCAAGCGGCCTGCAGATCCGTACATTTTGATACATTGTACGTGCTTTGGTTTCCGAAGGTTTCATGGCACACAGATCCGATTGGTATAGTTGAGATCAGTCTTCCATTTATAGATGTATTAAATGCAGCCCATTCTGATACGCTGGGCCAGCATAAGTCTCCTGGAAAACAGCGACAGCTTTCGAGAATAGTAGATGCACACAGCCATGGTCCACTGATGAGGATGATAAAAATAATTAGGAGGGGTTTGAGCCTGTGTGAGACTTGGCGGTGGGAAATTTCCATCTTGAAGTCTGCAGCGCAAAAGGAAAAAATGCAGCCCAGAAAGAGACAAGTAATTGATCACAGGAGAGGAAGGCCATTTGTTCAGTCATGCGATGAGATGTTGATATTGACAAATGATCTTCAGCACAAATTCGCCAACCAGCTTGAAATGTTGCGATGTGTGTAAGAGGAAGCTGAGTAGCAGCTTGTATCTGTTCGTTCCCGGAATATCCTAAAAGAGTTCGGAAACGCGATGCTACAGCAGAACGTTGCATCGTGAAGTGCAGCAAATGACACCGAGTATCCATCAAGTAAGAGATCGCGCATTACATTGCGTCGGACTATTACTTTGCGGTGCTGTGTTAGTGCGGCGCGTGAAATAAAATTAGAGAAGTGTATGCCAGGAAATTTCAACTGCCAGTAATTAAGGCACTAGAAAGCCAAGCATTCAGCCTAAACGATTAAGAATAAGACGCAATCCCATTGGCATTTTTCCAAGAGAGGCGCAGCAGGTGCAGCACAGCATACAGGTAATCACCGCTCGGCATGTCTGTCCGAAAAGAAACTAGCAGGAGTGGGCTAATTGAAAAGCCACATGAAAGCGTAAGTAAAATGCATCCGGAATATCATGGGTATCTGTCCGATGCTTTAAAGATTGATTTGACAGCCGCCTCAAGTAACGTCTTTTCCCGAATTGTGCATCAAGCCCCCCTGACGTGACTGGCTGCATGAATATATTACCACCTGATAATGATATCTGAGCAGAAATTTCTGAATCACCGCATAAAACTTCATGCTGACTGCAGTAGAGTGATCGCAAGTAATTGCTTTATTCCTTTTGGGATATTTGCAACTATCTTCCCCCACTTATACAATTTGCGGGGAGTTCCGTCGATACCCATCGAAATTATCCACTCCGGGAAACTGAGAACTCTTTTTGATCCACCAATTGAATGCGGGTGGGTGGAATTTATGTCAAAGTTCCGGTCCGAACCTATAGAACCGCAATAATTTCTTAGCCCAGTATCTTTCTGATGTTTATAACATTACAATCCTTCCACCTGCAATGGGAAGATCCCAAAATGCCGACCAAAGTGGACGCCATGTCTGTAGTCGAGTCTCCTTCTTTGGTGAAACGAGTCGAGATCCTTGCCAAAATTGCCAGATACTTTTGGCAATTTACGAGCAGCGACGTTGTGACCTTTGTCGTTCCTAACACGGTATTTGGGATCTGTTGTGCGCTTGCTGGACCTCCTCTCGTTTCAGGAGACCACATTTCGGCCCGGGAAGTGCTCTGGAGAACTCCTGCTGTCGTGTTATTCAACTGGTCGAACCTCCTAATCTTTGTCCTCGCCAACCAGCGACTATGGGAGTCCGTAACCGAGGATCAGCTAAATAAACCATGGAGGCCTATACCTCAAGGGCTGGTGACTCGTACAGAAGTGCGTCTAGCATTGCAGTTGTTAATTCCTGCTGTACTTGCTATCAACCACTGTTTTCTCAATGTTGGAGCCGAGACGGCTTGTATTTTGACGGGAACGTGGGTTTACAATGATCTCAAAGCGTCAGATGATGGTTGGATCCAGCGCAACTTCATCGCTGCTCTCGCTTTTTGGGTGTACAACCGAAGTTCTCTGAAAGTCGCTATCGGCGGAGGCGGTTCTTCTGACGCAGTTATCACACCTATCGGACAGTTATGGGTTCTAGTAATCAGTGGTGTCATTATGACAACAATGCATGTCCAAGATCTGAAAGATGTACTTGGCGATAAGTCGAGAGGGCGCGAAACTGCACCAATTCTTCTGGGAGAGTGGATTACTAGGTGGTCACTTGCAATTCCTATTTTCCTTTGGAGTCCGATTTGCGCGCTCTTCTGGGGTGAATGGATAGCGTCTATTCCAGCAACTATCATCGGCTTTTATGTATCATACAGGTGTATTTTGCGCAGCGGAAAAGATGAGGATAAATGGACATGGCAAGTGTGGTGTTGCTGGACAGCATTGTTATCACTCATGCCTCTAGGACATGAACAATGGCGGCAAATTTAACCATCAGTGATGACTCTGGGCTAGGCTTATAATGAATGGCTTATGGAGATAATCTGTACGAACATACGACACGTGATTCGGTTACTACTTCTGGTATATTGCATAAGAGCGAGGATTGTCAAAGCAGGGATTGGAGAATGTGAAAGGATAATTCCGTACTCAGCACTTCATCCGGTGCAACCTCAATTCTAAAATACCATAATACATACGCTCACCGAAGTTACCAGTGATTAATTAACCAAAGAAAAAGTTCTTTCTCCGACAATTTCAAGAAATCAAATGTCACAATTCCCCGATGTTCCCAACATTATGTATTAAATATAGTAGCGTAGTTCCCAGCATTGTCGTATATAGTACGGTCGCGAGTGAATTTGTGAAACCACATCATGCACTGCCCCGCCCTCTTTTGTTGGTTGTGTCTAGGACCGAGTAATCAGCAATGCTGATCAGAATATATAACACTCCTCTATTTCATGGTTCCTTTCTTTCAAAACACTTGTTTCTTGAGAACTTATTGAACGGCAAATACCTGATTTCGTACCATCTCCATAATCTTCGGCCATCATAATACAAGTTGCTGAAGCCACCATGCAACCTCCATATCCATGCCCAACAGCCACTTGGCACAACGATGTCTATCATGCTATTGACGCTACTCAGCCAGCCCTTAGTCAAGCAGGACGAACTGTCATCGTCACAGGAGCGGTAAGACTCCTTATGTCATTTCGAAAACATACGCAGATGCTTATTGATCTATCATAGGGTAGCGGAATTGGACGCGAGACAGTCCTGGCATTTGCCAAAGCGGGAGCCAAGCATTTAGTACTCATTGGCCGCACTGAATCAGATCTACTTGAGACGCAGAATCAAATCCCTCAGAACACAGCCAGCAGCTCAGTATTTGCTACATCCGTTTCCGATGAGGCAGGAATTAAAAAGGTAGCTGAGGCAGTTGGCACGTGGGATGTTCTCGTGATGGGTGCGGCAAGCAAGGGTATCAAGGGACCTATTGTCTCTGTAGATCTCGCCAAGTGGTGGGAAGCATATGAGGTTCGTCCGATATCGATTTTTAACAATGACCTGCTAAGCGTTTTTAACTAGACCGATGTTAAATCCATTGTAATAATGGCCCAAGCCTTTTTTCCAAATGCGAATAAGGCTGGCGCATATGTGTACGGACTCACCTCAGGGAGTTTGGTGCTACCAGTTACATGGATTGCTGGGCAATCGGCTTACCAGAGTGCCAAGACGGCACAAGTGAAGATAATGGAGTTCTTAGCATCGGAGAACCCTGACATCTTCATTTGTACCGTCCACCCTGGAATGGTGGACACCAAGGTATTTCGTGCAGCTGATGTTGATCCCGCTACACTACCGATGGACACTGGTATGTACCATTGCTCCGTCCTATCTTCAAAGATCATAATTACTAATCCATACTTCCCATCCACAGCTGCGTTGCCTGCGAACTTCCTAGTTTGGCTTACTCAGCCGAAGACAAAATTCCTGAATGGACGGATGATCTGGGCTAACTGGGATGTTGATGAACTTTCTGCGCAAGCTGAGAAGATTCAGAATAGTACCATCTTTACCCTTGGATGCGAAGGATGGCCTTTCGTGCCTGGAGGATGAATGTATCTAGATGCGTAATCAGCTGCCTAGCTAGCATGTGTGCAAGAGTGGAGGGGCTCGTGCTCGCCCCACTAGGTCTTTTCCGTAGTGGTTGTGACAATTGATAAGCTTACTATGCAGTATGTATGTATTTTTGAATGTTATGATGACAAGGAGGGATTGGAATATGAAGGTGAGGAAGTGGGTAACCTTAGGCTTACTATGCAGTATGTATATGTTTTGAATGTTACGATGACAAGGAGGGATTGGAATAGGAAGGTGAGGAAGTGGGTAACCTTAGGCTTACTATGCAGTATGTATGTGTTTTTGAACGCTACTCGTGCTACCAGAAAGCATGCAACTCCGACGCTAGATGCACATACCACAAGATGGTAAACTACAAGAGGACTAACCTGGTTTTCATAGCGCCGGAGTTGCATACTTTCTGGCAGCACGAGTGTGATGACAGGGAGGTAACGGAATAGGGAGGGGTAACCTTATGCGAGAGTCAAAATATTGAGAAAAAATCGATGATTATCAACCTTTAGATTACTACATTCGCGCCCTATGTGCTCGTACATTGTACATACTGGAGAATTTCTTTCGTCTGCCCATCTAAAAAATAATCATATGATGACTTCGAGATAATTTGAACCTCTCGTTTGTTCGCAGTACTTTGGATGTAGGCGCAAATATGTAAAAGTTGAAGTTTAGGTTAAGGTTAGTGATGCTGGGGAATGTACAGAAGAACACTGTAGTCGTAGTCGTCAATACTAGTATTGTGCAGCCTATCTCACCAATAACCTTACAACCAAACGTCAAAAGCAAAATAAACATGCCAATGAGATTCTGACATCTTATCACCGATTTCAAAACCTAGTATCGCGATATACTAGTGTTGGCGTTAAAACTTGCACAAATTTCGCATAAATACTAGGATTATCTATATAGTACAAGGATAGTGCAACTCCGTCATGCTATTCATGATTTATGCTGACCTCGATTTCCCGCCAAATCTTTGACTTGGGAATTTCCTGAGAGTCATGCTGCCCGGATTCAATATCAGTTTCGTGGCGTCTTTCGATTTTGCTAAGAGGGACTTCCATAGATTCAAGCTCGGTTCTTTCGTCACTGATTTGTGTGAATCTCCTCCGGCTGCTATTTCCCCCCCGCGAATCATCCGTCGACCCAGACGTGTCTTTTTGTCCACCAGTTCGACCCAGAGTGTATCTGCTAGAGGTGACTGATTTATAAAAACTTGACATGGCTGGAAGAAGGAGCCTAGTCAATAGAGGGCTCATTTGCGGCAAGTTTGCAGCGATGATTCCAAGCCAAAGCTCGAGATGGCTTTGTAGCCCGACAGGGACAACGAACCAGCTCCAGTCGACCGACTTCGTGGATTTAATAGTAGTGTCGATTCTCCATGCGCCAATACCGACCACGCTGGAAAGTAATTCTCAGTTAAAGCCTACAAAATATGTATTTTGATGGAAAACTTACGCCAATCCCAGGCTGAACATAGATGTAACGAAAACCTTCTTGGCTACACTCATCTGTAAGGACCATACAGAGGGAATCGGGATTATGACAATAATTAGATCCAGAGCCATGTTCGCCCCTACTGATGCGAACTCTTGGGTTTGAATGGCCCTGCAGTGAGCCAAGGTAAACATAATGTCGGGGCTCCATTGCGCTGATACTGGCAGGCACACAGTCATGAAAATTGGTACGAAGGCGATCAAAAAGGCAACACTAAGCCCCATCGTCACGTAGACGGCCCACTTGAGCCTGCGACCTGGGAAAATAGAGAGGTACATCCATAATACCGCCAATTTCGCAAAACATGTCGCAAACGTCCAAGTGAAGGAGGCGGAATACTGGGCCTAGAAACAAGTATAAGCTTCCTATGCTTATCAGCCTACTCTCTTCTCAGTGACATACCTTATGTTGAAATGTGGAATCTTCATAAGTTAGGTCCACTGCATGAGCTCCGAGATTATGATGGTAGCCTGAGATTCAGTCAGTGTAATTCCACCAGCTGTTGGATGGTCATCGATATGCACGCACTCATAAATGTTGGAATCTCGAGTCCAATGAGGTTAAGCTGTATTGCGGTTAGACATTTTGTTTATGGGAACGAAAGACGTGGAAACGGAGCTTACAAATGCAAAGACAACGAAAAAGTCGTCGAGAGAAAGCTTTCTTCGCTGTATCCGTCGGGCCCAAAATCGACCGATCATACTCAGTATTACAAGTATTGTAAACACGATTAACCAGACTATCACAGTCTTCCCACGCTCTGTCGTAGCCATTTGGAGGTTTACTGCCTGTTTTCCGAATTTTTGTGTTCTAAGAAAAAGCAATAAGAAGTATTGAAATGGTGCCTACAGATATACCAACCAAGGAGATTGGCTGAAGCATTAATTGAAGTTTCCAACCATCCTTTCTCACACAAAGCGATCATACTTGGCTGTACGTACCAAAATGTACGATGTAACCCTAATATCACAATCACAGCCTCCTGAATTTGGAATCCGTACAGGTAGCATGGTTTGGTCTGAGTAAGCACACTGTGCACTATATCTCCAACTCGCATATATTGCCTTCCTCTTCCGGACTGGGATATTAACCCGGTCTACTACCCGGTCTACTACCCGGTCTTCCTACTTATTGCCTTTGGGAAAAATGGCGTGGTAAGCATATAACCCTTTTCTCTTGTCCGAAAGCGATATTTTTTTTAATTGGAAGAATCCTACGGTAGCTAGTTTGTGGAGGCAAATTCATATTGGATTCTTCTTCCGGAATAACCTATTTTGAGGAAAGTAGCTGAACACGAGGTTTTCGGATACTTCTGTAATAAGTACCTTCCAGTTTTTATCTTTTTCTCTGCAACACAAGCTTTTGTAACATCAATTGATAACTTGCGTCTTATTGCACATGGCACTCTGCGTGCATATGCAACACGCAAGCTGATTCACGAATTGTTACGTTCTTGTTGGATAAATCAATCGCCGTTGTATCCGAACCACGTTTTTTGTCGCAGTCATCACCTTCGCCGCAGCACAGACCGATCACCAATCACCAATTAACAAAGGACAATTGCGGCCAACAACCTGACACCGTTAAGATGATTGATCACGGCGGCTTCCTCGCGAATCTCCATCGAGGGCTCGTAAAGAGCTTCTCTGCTATCGCAATCATGTCAATGGTCCCATTTAGTTCCTACCCTTTTGGTTCCTGCCCTTTGATGGCCACTGCCTCTTCCCTTACTTCAACCTGTCGCAACTTTCCTGGAGATCTCTTCTATCCTAACGCCTCGGAGTGGGCTCTTTTCAATGCAACACTTGGCGGGAGGCTCATTGCCTCGGTACCTATCGCTGCAATTTGTCACCAAGATCATTATGACAAGGCTGCTTGCGACAATCTTCAGAATAACTGGTACCTTCCTGAGCCCCACCTAGCCTCCTCCTCCTCTGCTATGGCATGGATGTTCACGAATAACTCTTGCAACCCTTTCCTTCCAGAGTCAGCATCATGCACTTTAGGAAACTACGTCAGCTATACCGTCAACGCAACATCCTCGTTACATATTAGGGAAGCTGTCATCTTTGCTAATCTGTTCAACCTTCGCTTGGTTATTCGTGGAACTGGTCACGACTACAATGGCAAATCTACTGGTGCAGGAGCACTTGCTATATGGACACATTATATGACATCTCTCTCTCTTATTGATTCATATAAATCTACTGCATATAATGGAAAAGCTGCAGTCCTTGAAGCTGGTGTATCATCTATTCAAGCTTACCAATTTGCTGACGCAAATAACGGAACTATAGTAGGAGGAAACTGCCCTACTGTGGCGTTGGCAGGTGGCTACAGTCAAGGAGGGGGACACGGCCCGCTTGCTACAAAGTTTGGTCTTGCAGTTGATCAGGTCCTGGAATGGCAGGTTGTAACCGGTATTGGAGCACTGGTTACAGCTTCACCAACTGTTCATTCTGATCTCTACTGGGCCCTTTCTGGAGGTGGAGGTGGAACCTATGGTGTTGTTGTGTCGGCAACCGTTAAGTTTCACCCAGAGATAAAGTCTCTCTCCTCTGCGACTTTGCAATTTGCTACTCCATCCACAGCGGAAGGTGCTACTGTATACTGGAATGCTATCAAGGTGTTCTTGCAATCGCTACCAAACATGGTCGACAGCGGTCTGCAACTTGTGTGGACTGCTGGTGCCGGTTTTTTCCTCGTGTCGCCAATCGTCGGCCTTGAGATCGAACAAGATGTCATTGATAACCTTATTGCGCCAACTCTTTCTACGCTCACTGCAGGCGGGATTCCATACGCTTATGTATCCTCAGCATCTACCTCTTTTCTGAACTACTATCAGTCTGCAGGCTTCGGTGCTAATGTCTCCAACGCCAATACTGCTGGGCGATTGATCCCTCGCTCGGTAGTTCAAAACAGTACTGATAGTTTCATCTCTATTCTTAAATCTGTTGTCAACAACAACTATGTCATGGCTGGTGTCACTCTTGATGTCAACAAAACCGTGGTTCCCGGCGCGCCAGATATTGCCGTGAACCCATACTGGAGAAAAACGCTCATGAATGCCGTATACGGAACTTATCTTGATTATACAAATTTCCCAGCCAATTTTGCAAGCCAAGACTATATGACCAACACTATTGGGCCTGCACTAGCTGCTCTTACACCCAACGGGGCGGTATACCTCAATGAGGCCGATTTCCAACAACCTAATTGGCAAACTGCGTTTTACGGCGCAAACTATGGTCGTCTGAATACGATCAAAGCCAAGTACGATCCGTTGGATAGATTTTACGCTCTGGGTGCGGTAGGAAGCGACCGTTGGACGCAACAAATGGACGGTCGACTATGCAAGGTTTAATGCCGGATCGCTGCAGTAATACTTGTTAATTTCGATGTGTCAAAGGTAACGGTTACACAGAAAGAGGATGGTTAGGGTTTAATTTCTCTGTAGTGATAGTTTCGATCAATGTAACCTTTAGCCCCTCATTTCTCTTTCTATCGTTTTGGGTCCAGACTGGGTCTGCAGTGACAATCTATTCTACGCGTACTGTATGTATGTCTTTCAGCGAATTGTTGTCTCGGCAGTGGAACTCAAAATCTAAGCAATGTGAAAATCATTGGTGTTCATGCATTTGAGCATAATATCTCAGCAAGCTTATGTTAGTGACTACATGCATATGCATGGCTCGAAAGTCGTTCGGGACCACGAAAATCCACTTCCATGCTGGCCATCAGCAACGTGTGATGATCGTGATAATCCTTGCGTTACAACGGGCGATGCCCGTTTGAGGAAAGGGCCGTATCCAATTTATCCTTCAGCACTGCATGTGTTAGTGCTGATCCCAGGGTGAGTGGGCGGGGCTGCTTATGGTTAAATCAATTATCCAAGGTCCTAGAGCAGAATCCCGTGCATGCACCAAACCGCATGGAGAAATTTTTCCACATCATGCGGTGAATAAAACAAGTCCGTCATGGCCATACGCACGGCTGTATGTCTCTATTGAAGATTACAACGGTTTAGTTCACCATTTTTGCGGCGAGACCGAATGGATCATGATGAATCTAGAAGTCCTCACATCTTCACTGTAGCGGCACTAAAGTCTTCAAGCGGTATTCCAATCAGATGGATGTACAGCAACGCCGTGCCGTTGTGGGATAGTACTTCAATTGGAAAGGTTTTTTACTTCCGCTCGCATTTGTTAACATTAATGCGCAAGTAATGGCATGATCTATGATTCCTGATCACATCCTACCAAATACATTCTCTGCGACGAGAAGCGAGTAACATGAATTCTATTCTCCTGTCTCTTGCAGCAATATCTTCAGGTATTGCTGCTCACCTGGGCATTTTTATCCGAGGAGAATGGCATTTGCGCATCTATGAGATCGTTTTTTCGCATACTGCCCTGTTCTTCGTCATTTGGTTTCTGACATCCCCTACCGAGCACACTTATTCATCAAGTCACTATGTGACAACTTTGAGGATTTCTGGCTGCTACTTACTTGGTCTTTTTGGAAGCATTGTAACATACCGTCTCTCCTTTCATCAATTGAAGCATTTCCCTGGTCCAAGACTCGCAGCTGCCACCAAGTTTTGGCATCTATGGCACTCCCGGAATTCCACAAATCATTTGGTTTTACACAAGGTGTACAAGGAATATGGTCCAATAGTTCGAACTGGTCAGTGAGCTCATTGATCACCGCACTCCTGCTGATGGGGCCGGGACTAGCTTAATCATATGATGTTTGCTAAACCTCTCTTCCAGGCCCAAATGAACTCTGTATATTCCACCCAGCCGGCATCGAGCTTCTTGATGGCGCGAAGAATAACAACAGCAAAGATCCTTGGTATGATCTCTTGCATCCAATGACCTCCGTGGTCTTTGAACGGGACCCCGAGGAAGTTCGATCACGACGAAACGCATGGAACAAAGGTATCTCTACCAAAGGTACGTAAGAAACCATGTAACCCTATGCTTTCATTCCGCAACCTCCATCTAACCCCCTCGCAGCCGTCAAAGAATACTCCCACCGTATCATTCTTCTTGGAAACGATCTTGTTGATGCAATTCAATCTCGAGATACCAAGCCTATCAAGCTCAATGATCTTATGTCATGGTTTGCCTTCGATGTAATGGGTCTGATTACTTTTGGAGAAGATTTCGGCTTCGTCCGAGCACAAAAACAGAGAATGGAGCTCATACATCAGAGAGGAGCTCTAGCTATGCTAAGCCCTATGAATGATGCTATCTGGCTGGCTCGAGTTGGTCTCTGTTTCTTCCCGTTTTTGGAAAAAGTGAGACATGTAACGAAGACTTTGGACTTTTGTTGGGAAACGATACAAAAGCGGATGAAGGTAGGTCTAGCCCAGTCTAGCTGAGAAATACTTAAATTCTACATATAAAATCATAGATACTAATGTAAGGCCTCGCAGAAAGATACCAAAGAGATAGATATCGCGCAATTTCTCATCGAGGAATACAACGACCTAAAAGGTAAAAAGAGCGACAAAGTCAGATACAATATTCTTCTAGGAAGCACACTATCCGCAGTGACAGCCGGTAGCGATACTACACGAGCCGGGCTCATCGCCATGATGTACTACATCTGCAAATACCCTTCTACGTATGACAAGATCTACAATGAGGTGAAAGATATCGATGTAACAGATGTGAACCTACTAGCCTCTCTCCCACATCTGAACGCTACTGTGAAAGAAGTACTTCGAATTGCCCCCCCAGCATTGACAGGAGGAGCGAGGATGACGGGCCCGGATGGTCTCTGGGTTGATGATACTTTTATTCCGGCTGGTGTGAAAGTTACTGCTACGAAGTATTCTTCGCATCGTCGTATGTGATTTTATTTCCATCCTCTTCGTATACCTACCTGAAGCTAATCATATTATCTTGAAAAGTGCCTAATGCATTTGTCGAACCTGATGAGTTTATTCCAGAGCGTTGGACTACGCATCCTGAGTTAGTGCTTGACCAGAGAGCATACGCTC